TTCCCTGCTACATTTGCTGGATACTATAGTGAGGGGGGTGGGGCCGATTAAAACAATATTAGATATAAAATCTTTCACGTTGAGATGATTACTCTAATAGAGCACTCAAGACCTCTATACTCTCTGGGGTATTTGAGCTCATTTGGTCTGTGTTGAGAGGTCAATTACTACCATTGCTGCTTTTTATTTCCACTGGAGATGATGAGACCAAACCTGAGAGATTAGGCATCTCAAGTCCTGGTGGGGCAAGCAGCAGAGCCAGGTGGAGTGGCCTGGTCTCTGGCACACAGCTTACTCCACTCAACTTCTCTCTCTCCTGACCCAGGAGTGAGTTGGTTCAGCCACAACTAATAGCAGTCAGAGCACAGGAAATGATGTCACAGCCGCAGACCACAACAAAAACATGCCTTCTTTATTGCACCTGTGAAAATGCAGGGTATTAGCTCACAGGCAGTGGCTGGGCTGCATTGTCCTGGAACAGGGGGAAACAGATGGCAATTTAATAGGAACCTGATAGCATTGTTTTGGGTTGGACAGGGGGTAGCCTCTGGGGAACTAGGAGAAAGGCTCTCAGCTACCAGGCACAAGGGCTTGGAGAAGGAGCTTGCTGTGGCCACTTCCTCCCTCCCACCTCTACCCTAGGAGGAGCCCAGAGGGGGTAGGAGTGCAGAGGCCCCTATTGTTTGCCTGCCCTGTGCGTGTGTAGGTGCGTAGGTATATGTGAGTGCTCATAAGCACGCAAGCACATGTGCATATGCATATCCATCTCCGTGTGTGCATGTGCTTGTGTGTGTGAGCATGCGTGTGTGCTCATGTTCATCTCTGTGTGTGCGTGTGTGCGCATGTGCAAGCGCATATGCATGTCTCTGTGTGTGCGTGTGCTTGTGTGTGCCTGTGTGTAGGCTGTGTGTGTGCACATATGCATGTGTGCGAGCGCATGTGCATACACATACACATCTCTGCATGTGCACGTGCTTGTGTGTGTGCATGTGTGCACTTGTGTGCAAAAGGGCCAGCGCCGCCACGCCCGGCACCTGCCGCCTGGGGCTCAGCTGGCCCCGCTAGCCTCAGACCAGGAACCAGAGCTGAGGTGGCTCGGGGAGCAAGGGAACCGGGGGCCTGAGCGGCAATGGGGTCCGCTTGGTGCTTCTCCGGAGTCGGCCTAGTCCCGAAGGTAGAGGGCCTCCAGCTGCAGCTTGTCTAGCTGGTGCAGCTCCTGACCCCGCGGCCCCGGGAACCCCTGCAGGGCTCAGCTCACCTATTCCCTGGATGCCGCGGACACGCCACCTTCCTTATGCTGGCCCCGGGGCCCCCCTTACCTTCCCTCCCCTCACCTCGGGGGCCGCCTGGGCCACCGCCTGCCCCCCGGTGCCCGCGGACCCTTGGCTCCCGGCCCATCTCGGTCTGCTGCCCTGCAAGCCGTCTGGGCCGTGGCGGCCGCACAGCTCCCCCGATGGCCCCCCGTGTCCCATCTGCACGCCCTGTCCTCACCCACGACTGCTCTCTCTCCAGGGCTCCTTACCTGGTGGCGAGTAGCCTCACCTGGGCACCTGGAGGCCGCCTGCAGCGTCACTGAGGCTTTGGGCCCATATCCGACCAAAGCTGGTCATTGACTTTGACTTTCCTTTTTTTTTTTTTTTTAAGATTTTATTTATTTATTCGTGAGAGACACACACAGAGAGAGGCAGAGACACAGGCAGAGGGAGAAGCAGGCTCCATGCAGGGAGCCAGATGCAGGACTCGAACCCTGCCTCCAGGATCAGGCCCTGAGCCGAAGGCAGGCGCTAAACCACTGAGCCACCCAGGGATCCCCAGACTTTGACTTTCCATGTATGTTCCCTGTCTGTGTTTTTTCAAGCCAACTTTTCCGTCGTTCTGTTCCCATTAGAAAAAATCCTAAACCCTTTGGGGCGAACTGTGAGGCCTGGCTGCCTTTCCAGCCTCTTGCCACTTTCCCCCTTGGTTGTCCCCACCCTCCATCCGTCTTGAACTGCCTGCAGTTTGGCCAGTGGGTTACAACCCCTACCCTCTTATCCAGGTCTGGCTGGTCCCCATCAGCATCCTCTCCTTGGAACCACTCCCCCTTCCCCAACCAAGTCTCCTCACCTGCGTGGCTCCTTCCTTCCAGTAGCATCTCCTCCTCTCCCTGAAGATGAGGGAGACTCATCTCCTCCTCTCCCTCCCTATCCTTGGCCCTCTCATCTAGATTGGGCGCTCCTCCTAGGGGTTTCCATGGTATCCTGCGGCGACCTTTACTGAGGCACCAATGACATCATTTTGGGTGCTCCTCCAAAGTGGGACTTGGTGATTATCTCTTCTCGGCTCCTGGCGCAGTGCCTGGCTCTCTGTATGTGGGATGCATAAACACATTTTACAAGTTAAAGAGAGAGAAACTTTCTCAAAGTTGTCTTGGAGTGGCAGCAGGATGTCAGAGTTTTAATGTATCCCGTTATACGTATGTGACTTGCAGCAGGGACAGATCCCGGTGGCTGTCCACGGGTTCTGACAAATCCTCATAACTAGCTGATTTCTTACCTTCCCTTGTAGTACCTGTCACCTGCTCCTCCACTTTGCCAGGAGGAGTTGACCCTCTGGCTGCCATCCAGGAGCTGATGACTGACAGACCTGGGCATCTTTGCCAAGTTTAAGAAAAATAAGGTAGATTGCTGAATGTCAGCTGTCCAGGAACTAGGAGTCAAAGCTCATGATTTCCCTTCGTACATTCATCTGCGACTTCAGCCCAGCAGCTTGCAAAAATAAAGAGCACAGTAGGAATCGAGCCCTGGCTGAGAATCTGGCCATTGTGGTGGGTGGTGGGCCGGAGGAGGAGGGAGGCAGTTACTCCCAGGGTCAACATTTCAGGTTGTTCCCGGAAAAATAATTGCAAAGGCAACCAGTCAGAAAGGAGATTGGTGGCCTCCCTCCCCCGCCCCCTGTATTTCTTGGCACTTTGGCTGCCATCAGATTAATGAAATCTTCCCAGTCCTGACAGAAATGACAACCTCCAGAGGAAAAAAAGTATGTTTCCGCACTGGAAAAAAGATCAAAACAACACGAAGGAGCAAACCCGTTCCTATATAAGGGCTTCAATACTTCCTTGTGCAAAATGATGTGAGTTAATACCTTTGTCTCAGGGGGATGTTTTTTTTCTCCTTGAATCTTTAGAGGTTATTTCCAGAGTTGCGAAGGATATTTCAAAAACCATGTCTGAAGTCGAAAGTGCCCAAGTACAGCCAGCTCTGAGCCGAAGGACAGAGAGAAGGGGAGGGTGTCCTATTGAGAGATGAGAGTTATTGCCTGCAAATGCTAATGTGGGCCATGAATGAAGAGTTGTTGTTGTTTTAAAGATTGAGAACTATAATGGCTTAAAAAAAAAAAACTAATGATTTTTGGAAAATTGAAGCACACTGAATTTAATTACTGTGATAGTTAAAAAACAATTCATTTGGTATCAACTATATTTCTGTATTTTTCCAGTGGAAAAAGTATAGGAGTTTTGAACCTCAAATGATTGGAAGTGTAGGTTTGATTTAGAAAAGAAACAAGAAACCTGAGCAGAAATGATTCTTTTCCTTAGATAACAATATTTGACTTTAAATTTGGTTATTAAACTATTAAAAGAATCAGCCTACATAAAGTTGTCATATTTAAAATCATAAAGTGCTTTTTATTTTTTTAAAGATTTTATTTATTTATTCATGAGAGACACAGAGAGAGGCAGAGATATAGGCAAAGGGAGAAGCAGGCTGCCTGTGGGGAGCCCAATGGGAATTCGATCCCGGGACCCAGGGATCACACCCTGAGCCGAAGGCAGATGCTCAACTGCTGAGCCACCCACGTGTCCCACAAAAGTGCTTTTTAAATTATAAGACTGTCACAATAAGTTTCATTGATAAGTATTAATAAGCAGCTTACTTTAAGAATTCTGTTTAAAAATGTGCATATCCACACCTTTTTAGGAGCACAGCTCTCCGAATAGCCGATGGTTTTCCAATGGATATTCAGAACACGTTAGGGTGGGTGTTATGTTTAGAGCGTGAATATTCTAATTGAAGAAAATTCATTTTAAGATTCAACAGCCCCCGAGTCTCTAGGATAAATACATGTCCTCAATTAGAGTTTGCTTTGGTGTCCTCACCCTATCCTTAGGAAGGAAATGCAGGACGGGCCTTGCAGGTCCGTGAGAGGCGCTTCGTCTTTACTCCTCTCAGTTCCTGGGAGCAAATCTTCCCTCAGCCACTTTTTAGCTGTGAAACCTTAGGCAAGTCGCTTAGCTTTTCTGTGGCTTAGCCCTGGGCCCTTTGCAAGTATTCTGGGGATAAATCGTCTTTTCTTCACAGGTTTGCTGCAGAATTAAATCCATTTATGTCAAGTTTTAGAACCGCTTATGACTGGTGCCTAGGAGATCCTCAATAGATCTGAGCAATCCTACTGTCCACATTCGGAAGCTCTCACTCTTCCTGAAGAATCAGCATGAATAAAGGGGGAATTTTGTTTGTTTTGCGACATTTTCTTTTCTTTTCTTTTTTTTTTTTTTTTGCAACATTTTAGTGCATGCGCTCAGGCTTCGCAACACAGCAAATCATCTGCAGGGAACGCTCAGTATCATTTAGATACAGTGTCTTCTCTTCACTGCCAGCATCAGTTGTCCCGTAACAAAAAAAAAGACAAAGGGGGGAAAAAAATCCTGGCCAGGGGACAAGTTTCGAGAATTGTTTTAAAGCAGTCATTGTGTTCAGGTGGCCTGGCAGGCTACTGTAAACACAGAGAGATGCAAGGAGGAAATCAGAGCCCATTGTGGGCTCATAAAATGGATGTCTTTTCAACCAAACAGATTGCAATCAGCCCCACCGAGCCCACGGCCTCGTGTTCCTTTCTGCTTGCTCATTTCCTTTACTGAGTGTCTGCAAGAACCACCCACTTGGGTGGTTCTCAGGATTATAGGTTTTTAGGTCAAACAGAAACCCAGGACTGGGCCTGGACAAGCCAACACGCAGTTACACGCTGGGCGAGCCCGATGACACGGGCCCCACGGCTGGCGGGCCCCAATCCGCGTGGACTCTGGCCGTGTAGCCCCCCCTGCAAGCGGGGCCCGGGCCACGAGCTCTGCTCTGAAGGGGCCGCAGGTCTCCGGCCGGGCTCACGGCTCCGCAGCGGGCCCCCCGCGCTTGCTTCCTTCGATCCCCCTCGTTCGCCTTCCAGAATGGACGGGGCCCCGGAGCCCCTGGCCATGACCATCCACCTCCTGGCCAGCTCTGGCCAAGGCTCGCTTCTGCAGCAAACCCTGGATCAGCTCCTGGCCTGCATTTGCCCAGACGTCCGACCCTTCCTGGTGTCAGAGCGGGTCAGTCCGGTGAAATACTACGACAAGTGCCACTCCAGGCGGTCACGGTTCCCGGGGATGTCTGTTTTGCTCTTCCTGCACGAGAGCCTCGGAGAGGAGCGGCTCTTTCGGGTTCTTGACTCCCTAGGGCGCTGGCCGTGGCAGTGCTACCCCGCCCCGAGCGCCCAGGGGAGGCCGTGTCCCTACATCCTTGCCAATCAGGAGTTCTACAGTCTGGACAGCCAGATGCCCGTGTGGGGCGTGAGGCAGGTGCACCGCGGCACCGAGATCCTGAGAGTCACCCTCTACTGCAGCTTTGACAACTACGAGGACGCCATCAGACTCTATGAGCTGATCCTGCAGAAGGAAGCCACGTTGCAGAAGAGCAACTTCTGTTTCTTTGTGCTCTACGCCACCGAGAACTTTGCTCTGCAGTTGTCGCTCAAGCAGCTGCCCCTTGGAGTGTCAGTGGACCCCAAAGAGTCTTCGGTGCTGCAGTTCAAGGTTCAAGAGATCGGCCAGCTGGTGCCTCTCCTACCTCATCCGTGCGTCCCCATCAGCCGCACCAGGTGGCAAACACAGGACTATGATGGCAACAAGATTCTGCTTCAGGTATTCATCCCTGTTTTGCCTCTGATCTTTATAGATGCGCATGGAGCTGTGTGGTTTGACCTCTGAGATGGGCCTTAGTGATGATCCAATGCAGCGGTTCTCAGCTTCGGTTGCACATCAGAATCCCTGGGGAGCTTGCAAAAATCCCCATGGGCCTGCGCCCCAGGCCGGTGAGATCAGCATCTCTGGGGGCGCCTGGGGTGACTCAAAATGTAGTGTCAGGGCTGAGAGGCACTGATCTAATAAAATCCCCTCATCTGCCAGATAATGGAGTTCACGCCCCGTGAGCTCACGCAAGTGGTGCAAGTGGTTCGCAGGAGAATCACGGGACATCCCATTTCTCAGCTTGTCCTTTGAAACTGTAAGCAAATACTTTGCCCACGGCTTTGGGTTCAGGAGTAGTGTAAGCTTTTCCATCTGACCTAAGGAAGCTGAAGTTGTTAACTATGGTTGGAGATGTTAAGTTTGTAGTCCTGTTGACTTCATTGTTTTCCCCTGGTGACTTAATGTTTAAGCAGCTTGTATCACTATCAGTTTTATCCCCGATCTAATTTGATGGTTAGAGCTCCTTAGTTTAAAAAGAAAATCTTGATTTTAAAGGCTTTTCCTGTAAGCATCCCATCTAAGCCAGGCACAATCATGATCGCTACCATGTGTCGTCCCTTGCCTAGTATTTCGTGGCAGTTGGGCCTGGCACCTAGTAGCTGCCTGGCTAAGCCTCGATTCCTTCATTAGCACAGTGGAGGGAGGAGTAGCATCTTCCTAGAGTGTGGGTGGTCAGCCACACGAAACGACGTCATGCTTCAAGTGCTTAAGGTAGTGCCCAGAATGCAATTTTAGCTATTACTATCTGTTCTGACCTAGGCTAAGGGTTGTTACATGGATTGCTTTATTTAATTCTTATAACAACCTAGGGAGGCACTATTTCTCCCATTTTGCAGATGAGAAAACTGAGCTACTCAGTTAATTGCCTAAGACACAAGAGACAGGTAAGGAAGTATCTACTCAGCTCCAAAACCCAGACAGTTACCCATTATCGTCCAGTGCTCGGTGGGTGTGCAAGTGTGTGTAAGAGAGTGCAGGCAGGGAGGTGTACATGACACCACAGCAAAATGTTCTGTGGCTTCTGTCCTTAAGAAAAGGTCAGTAACCCCTTTAAGGCCCGTTGGGTCAAGTAATAATAACAGGATGGAAGATGAATAGTCTTTCCCTTTAATTTTATTATCTGCCTTGAGTTTGAATCAGTTGGATTCCTTATGAAAAGATTTCTCAATTATTTACCTGTCACCCAAGGTGGACAGGCACTGTAGTTGCCTCTGATTTAACTCAGCAATTTCTAAGGCATCTAAGGTTTCTCCTTCAGCCTTGGTTAATCTCTAGCATTTAAAATCAAGCTCACTGTCGAACAAACATTTCATATGTGTGTGCAGCAGGGGGCACATTTTTAACTGTTCCTATTTTTCAGATCAACCCACCCAACTTGGGTCAGATTCTCCTCTCCTCTAAACCAATTATTGCATCCAAGGGAATGGGGTTGCGTGGGGCGGTGTAGTTCTGAGGCAGAGGCTCTGCTGGATTGCCTGTGGAGTCAGGCCCTCCTGGGACTCCCAGGGAAGAGTGAGGGCCACCAGCGAAGATCAGTAGGGGAACAAATGCAGGGTGGCCCAGATGACTGATGGTGACCAAAAGAAAGGAAATAATACCCATTCAAGGGAAAACCACTAATTAACCTCTCCACGAATAACCTTTCCTGAAGGCCAGAATGGACATGTGTGTGGGCATGCTAGACCCACGGGGGGCGGGTGATGGTCAAAGCTTCCTGAGGAGTGATACCTGGGCCTGCCGAGGCTGGACAGCCCAGAAGGAAGTAGCCAGATGGAGAAGGGTCACCCACGGTCTCTTCCAAAGAGAAGCATGTGGTGGCATTTCCTTAACAGGGCATGTGCAGAACACTGCCTGAGGTTCTCTGTGGCTGGGGTGAAAAGAGGGGCTCAGGGAAAATGAGCAGGTGGCTGGAGACCACATCATCAGGACTATGGTCAGCCACTGGAAGATAAGCTCCATGAGGGCAGGAAGCTCTTCATCCACTTTTGTACTCTCAGGACCTAGAACAGTGTCTGGCACACAGTAGGCCAACCACATTCTTGTGTGAATGAACCGGAGCCTGGCTAACTAGCTTCTGTTTTATCCTCACGGCAATCAGCAGTCACTGATGGAGGCTGTGAGTGACGCTGACACGTAGAATTTGTTCTGAGGATCAAAAAAGAGAATGTAAATGGAGGTGCTCTGTAAAGTAGAAACTGTAGGAGATTGCGCAGAAGCAATGCGATGATTGCGTGTGTAAGAAGGCCACTAGCCATCTCACCAGATGCACACAGTGAACAATTCTTTTCTCCTGTCAGCGCAGATGGCCGGATGCTTCTCAGAGTCTAGAGTGTTTATTTTATTTTATTTTTTTTTATTTATTTATGATAGTCACACATAGAGAGAGAGAGGCAGAGACACAGGCAGAGGGAGAAGCAGGCTCCATGCACCGGGAGCCCGACGTGGGACTCGATCCCGGGTCTCCAGGATCACGCCCTGGGCCAAAGGCAGGTGCTAAACCGCTGCGCCACCCAGGGATCCCCTAGAGTGTTTATTTTTGATGAGAGTGACTTTAGGGTACATAGTGGATGCTCAGTAAATGAATGAATGTATCAATAAATGATCAAATATGTCCATGTTTCTTCATTCACCAAATACTCTTCCTGAGTGCCTATCCTGGGCCAGGCCCTGTTCTAGGCCTGTCCTCCATTTGTCTTAGTTCTTAACAGCTGCAAAGGTGTGGTAGGTTAATTCCTCCCTTCCCTCTCTAGCAATCCTCCTTTGTCCCTGTGTTTTTCCCACAGGTGCCCTTTGGCTAGGGGTTCTGTGTGATGTCACACTGCCTTTATAGGCTGATGGGAGGACTGATTTCCCACAAGTGCCTGTAATGGCAAGTGGCCTATGGTAAATTCTCTGTCCCCACCTTGAGTGTAGGGACAGAAAGGGTTAATTTGACCAAGTTTGGAAAAGTTGTTTGAAGGATGTGCCACTTGGAGGGTGACCGAACTGGGGGTAGCAGGGTGTGTGGCTGGAGAGCACAAAGGAGTTTAGGAGAATGCTTGTTGGCCCACTGAGTATGAGAACAGGAGGACATACAACAGGCATTAGAGAGGCATTTATTAATGTTTTTCAAGAAATGGCAGATAGTCTGTAGTATACAGTTTAGAATGATAACCCTGGTACCATCACGTAGAGTAGATCGGATGAGTGCTAGACTGACGCATCCAGAGTGACTTCAGTCATCCAATAGGAACCAGCAAAGTTTAGAGTAAGGGGACCCACAATAGAAGCGTGAGGTTAAATATGAACTATATTTCAGGGTTGGACTTAACAGATTTGGAAATGAATTAGACGTAGGGGTAGAAAAGAAGGAGGTGATGATGAGTCTGGACGCACTGAGTTTAAGCTGCTTGAAGGTCATTCACGAAGATATACCCAGTCAGGTGGCCTCTGGGAGCTGGAACTTGGCCTGGGGACATAGATTGGGGGTGATGGTTGAAGCCCTGGGAAGAAGTGCTAGTATCAAGGAACAGAGGGTAGAATGAGAAGAGATGAAGGCAGAGCCTACAAAACATCCACACTCCAGGAGTGAGAAAGAGAAGAAGAATGAGTGAAGGAATGTGAGAAGGAGCAGCCAGAAAGGAGGTAAAGATTATGATGTCACAGAAGCCAGTGTGTCACTTGGTGGTGTGCCATAGTCCCTAAGATACAATTTCTTGGGTGCACTGAAAAAACCTTAGGTCTCTCCTCACCAGACCATCGTTCCCCGGTTGTGTTGCCAATAATCCCTAGAAGACTGGCACAGGCTGCAGGGCCAGCTCTCCTCCACTGGCAACTGCGGCCACCACCACCCTCCACTTATGGGCATGTCCTTGCCAATGTCTCCACAATGCTATTGAAACCAGGCTGCAATTTTCAATAAGATCTTTCTGAAAGTTTTAGGATAAAAGGGGAAAACAACAAAAGATTCTGTACAGGGACGGTGAATTACAAGCACCTCTGAGTGTCACCATTCAGAGCTCCTTTGCTAAGATGTGACCTTGAGATCCTTTCCCAGGTCTCCTCTGTGTGTTCTCCACACCCGTCACCAGGAGGGGCTCCAGGCCAAGCACATAGCAAGAGAAGGGAGGTTGCCTCTTAGCCCCTTGAGGGCCCACCTTCCAAGTCTTTCTTAACAAGGGTTGACTGAGGGGAAAGGAGAAGAAATGGTAGGAAATATCAGAAAGGGAGACAGAACATAAAGACTCCTAACTCTGGGAAACGAACTAGGGGTGGTGGAAGGGGACGAGGGTGGGGGGTGGGGGTGAATGGGTGACGGGCACTGAGGGGGGCACTTGACGGGATGAGCACAGTATTATTCTGTATGTTGGCAAATTGAACACCAATAAAAAATAAATTTATTATTTAAAACAACAACAACAACAAGGGTTGACTGCCTCCTAAGATGAATGAAGTGAGAAAGTTCACATGCACCTCTACTCCTGTTCCACAGTGGGGGCGTCTTGTTCATGGACCTGGACAGGGGGGTTCAGTTATGCCAGTACATGACCCGGCATCAATACAACCCAGGATACTGAGTCTCAACAACAGACACTGGTCATCAGCCATCCTTCCTGGCAGCTCTTCCCAGTTTATTCTGCTGAAAGACTTAGAACTCATGCCTGCATATCCTTCCTCCAGTCCTTGGCCTCACCTCTGAATCCTCTACAACTGGTACCTGAGTTAGAATCCACACCGCTCTCCAAGAACAAGTTCTTCCTCCAAAAATCAATTTCATTGATTTTTCTCTACTGATTTCCTGCTTTAAATTTCACTGGTTTCGGCTCTAATTCTCATTATCCCTTCTTCTGCTTACTTTGGACTTTTGGGGGCAGATTTTATTTGTTTGTTTGTTTGCTTGAAAGAGAGCGAGAGAG